GATATTTAGTTGAGAAATCGCTGCAGGGAAAGGCCACTTTTGTGACGCAGACACAGGAGACAGACGAACATTAAACTAGGTCTTAAATGCGGCGTGAGGATGTTGAATGGATTTATCTAGCTCATTGTACCTCATGGCACAGTAACAAGCCCTAGTAAACACAGCAGTTAGTTTGCATACGGGTCCATAAAGGACGAGTCACATCTTGATCAGTTGAGCGACTGTAGCGTCTTTAATGAAGGGAGAAGGAACAGTAATTATGTTTCGTTGGTCTTAATCGACAACGTAACACGGTTCGCCTCACCAAGTGTCTTCTTTCGAGGCTAACACAAAAAATAAAAAAAAAAGATAAACGTCCTCCCCCCTTAAATATATCTTTCGCTGTGTACGACAGTACATAATGTAAAAGTCTCAAAGACAATGTTTTCCAGTGCGACTGGGTGTCACGAAGTCTTTAAATTTATCACAATTAAAATGTTTGATTTAAATTATAAAATACATTTATTTGTTTTTTCCTTAAGGTAGTATATTTGCGTCATATTGTGAATTAGGTTAATATTTTAATATTTTCCGTCAAATCACAATTTTTAATAAGATAATAAAATATAAAATATTTAAAATATCATTTCACGTTCCGCATCGAATGATCGATTTACAAATTGGAACGTCTCTTACGACATGTTTCGGTTATATTTAACCGTCCTCAGGTATAAATTAGATTGGTAAATTTAAAACTCGAATTACAATCATTTACAATGTTATGCAGTTTATTGAAATGTTCTTATCAGATTACGCTTATATATTAGAACGAAAGTATTGTTTTTTTGTTTTTTTCTTATTAATAATTATACTTTTTTGGTTTTATCACACATGACTTACATTCAAACAAATATAACAATTATTATTAAAAATATTTAAGGTACTTATAATTCCGAACCTGACACCAATCAGTTAACGTGGCTACGGGCTAGAAGACCGGGTTTAATCCCAAGTAAGGACAGAAATTTTTGGTTACGACATTACAGTTTCCAAATTGAATTTGGGGCCGACCCGGAGGGGGTTACTCTTAATTTGAGCATGATTTTTATTGAAAGCCAAGGGTAATATTCGCATAGCTCTATGTCCCAGGGCGATCCGGCAGACAACTAACACATCTTGATCCCTCCCTTAGTATAGCGTGTCTTCCTGAAGAATCTTGCGAACAGATTCCCAGGACGTTCCTGGCTTCTTACTCACTCGTATGAATCCCTTCCGTCCTTTGGATATGAGCCGGTCTTGCACCCGTCGCTTGGTTAATTCAAATGACAACCGTATGTGGCCAGTGCGTTTCTATAGAAACGTGACGCACATAAAGACGCTTCGAACAGTTCTTCATGTTTGTGTTACTCCTTCCGTGGCCATGTAAGAACTGACAGTGCAACCTTTGCGTGCCGTCTTCTTAGACAGCATTCGCACCGAAAAGACTGCGACACCAATTTTAAAATTATCGCTCGGTAAGAGCGACAGACCTACAGCCGAATAAAAACAACTTTTCTGCTGTATTGCCGATATCAGCCAACGCCTTGGAGGGAGGTACAACGCGTCACAGTAGATCGTAAGAGCAACGAGACGTCGAGTGAGATTTCAGATTCTCACGGAAGAGAGGTTGAAGATAACTTCTCTTCTGGAATTTTTCCCCGTGTAGCAAAGAAACATTCTGCAGGCGATTACACGAAGGAAAGCTAACTGGCTGGGACATATTATGAGAAGGAATGGGTTACTGAGTGATATCATCGAAGGCCAGGTTGAAGGAAAGCGAGGACTAGGAAGAAGATTGATACAGCTAACCGACGACCTTAAACAAGGAAAGAAGATGACGTTCCAGGAATTAAAGCGAGAAGCCGAGAATAGGGACAACTGGAGAGCTCTTTTTGGGCAGAGCAATGGACCTGTCGTAAGACAGAACACTTAATAATAATAAAGTCTAGTAACAACCGTCTGTTCCCATGACTAAGGCAGTAAGGATCCTTGAAACGTCCGTCAGTTTGTATCAGACGCAACATCCCAAAAGACAATCGTCTTCAACGAAATGTTAGGTTCGTGTTAATTTCAGAACATCGCGTGCGACGGTCATTTCATTTAACCGATGTTTTACAAACTACGTGTCCGATGTCGCCTGTAATACGTTGCCTGTTGCTAGTTGATTCCTTGTGATCCCAGATTTACGTGAGATATGAGAACCTCAAGGTTGCTATCCACCTGCAGATCCACGTGGCGTTATAACCCATTACAGTTACATTACAAAGAACTGATGTCAGATTTAACCTCTCCCGTTCCTGATGGCTAGGCAGACTTGCCCCTACAAACAACGATGGTGGTGACCTAAAGCGTCGAACAGTGAAACGGACGAAACTTGCTCATTTATCCGTCGCGGAGTTTTAACCACAGCTACAGGTAAATCAGAGCTTTATCCTATTCTGAGACTGAGTACAACACAAGCTTACCTAGGATTTGATACGAACAGAAAGATTTTCAGTATAGGCCGCCTTAAAATAAGGTTTTATGAACTTCAAGACACTTGAAATTTGAGCTTAACTAAATCTTGGGGGTATGGATAACAAACAGATTATCACGTATTTATAATCGAGTAATCCGTCCTATTGTTCATGTCCATAGACGGCCATGTTACTTTTTAAATTTCGAAAATATTCTTAAAACAACAGGGTTTATCCCAGGGATTTACCGTAACAAACAAAATCCTCCGTTAATATGACGGCCCTAATTACTGTGCATGTCTAAATGGAATTTTGAGACATTAAAACAACCATTTACGTCTGTCATGTTAGTTATCATAAAACAACTTTTCAGTCATTTTGTAATCCCTACGCAAAGATCATTGACATTATTCCAAACAGTGTTTAACACACACGGGGAATGGTTTAGCACAACTCGCCTGCTTAATTACATCATTTTTTCTGGTTTATAATCACAAACAATCAGGCTACGTAGGATTTGACGTTTTCACGGCGGTGAGTTCGAAGATGGCGCTACAACCCAGAAGACTCACCGCCGAGATATCCTCAAATCCTCCTCAGTATTGCCTCTTTCCAAGTCTGACGTCCGAATGTACAGTTTCTCGTAAAAATCCGCAGACCGGTTGAGGATCACTGGGTTACCACCGTCTAACCAACGGTTTACGTGCGAAATTATAATTTTGAAAAATAGTACAACATTTTGTTAGCATTCACGTCAAAATTGTGTATGGGGGGAGATGATGAGAGCGTACGAGAAGCCTTCAGTCGCAACTCGGATCTCAAGAACCATCAAAGAGGAAAATCGTGGTGAAGTTCGATTATACATAACAAATCGGTAAACGATACAAAATAAGTCAGGAAAGGTCACTGTCCTCTTTTGTTGAAGTGGCCAATAGAATTTTCAGTTCCTCCAACCTTCCAAACGCACAGAAATTTCTTCATTAGTTCAAGTTTTATGAAGACAACGCATCTCGTCTGAAGGATGACCAGTTTCAGCGCGAAATCTCCGTCCCTGCCTAGACTTGTCTTGGTCTCTCAACAAAAATCACGGCCTCAAATCTGTCATCACAAACGATAAATGACGTAAGGAGGACACGCAGACAGACACTCAAGAACCAACTCTCTCAGTAAATATAAACTAATCAGGGAAAGGTTGTTCAGTAAACACGAAGAAGTCTTACGACAATACAGTCAAATGTTCAGATACACCGAATTCAATCAGTACCACGGGCAGGGTTAGCAGCAATACGCACTTAAAATTAACAAAGATAAATGATTAACTGAGTATCCAGAAGTTAACACGAAAGTTCTTTTTAAAAATAAATACTTACTGGTGTGGGAAATTAGTCTCGAGGGTCATTGTCTGTCTGTCTGCGTGTACTAGCCTATCGCCTGATCAGGGCCGCCACCTAAACGAACATTTAAATCTGCGTCTACGTAGTTAAAAATCAGCGAATTCGTAAACTGTTCAGACTTCTTTGTTTTTAAAACAAATTTGAAAAAAAAACCTGTCTAATAAACATAACAGCAATCGGAAATTGTTTACAGGCATGTTAATTTGAAACAACCGTGGAGATCAAAAACAGTGAATTCGCCATTAAAGTGAACATATATTTCCTTCTTTAATGCTGTTGTTGCAATTACAAATGTTTTCTGGCAACAGCGGAGGAAACTGGGAGGAAGTGGTCGTGGCCCATCTCAAAGTGACCGTAACGCCGCAGTGTTCTGAACAAGAACCGTACAATTGAACAAAAATTTTCTTGGATATTATCCATCGTCTAGTAAAATATAAAACGTAAAAAACGACGTTTCGGATATGGGACTCTATCTCCGTCTTCAGGTTCCTACACAGTTGGGCCCACTAGATAGAGCTAATCCCTATCTCAGGGTTACGTTCGAAACAAACAGATGGCCTCAAAGAGTTTCCCACGGTTCGGTATTTCATATGCAACAGAGAATTTCATATCCCAGCCCGTCAGAAAAAACAGACCACAACAGCCTCAGTTTAAGTCCACTTATGTACGTATTCACTGTGTCACGTCATTTTACACCGGAAACCTAACCTTGTTTCTAGAGCGCCCTTAACGTCTTCGACGTGTTCCCGCTCCGATTCTCGGCACAGTTACTAATTATCCTGACTGAGGTTTTATGTTTTCCCCAGTCTTTCCAGGAGAATGCTAATAAAGTGCATTGAAACGGATCATCCATCTAAATCTTTATGCATCAAACAATAAATCCAAATCTCACCACTCTTAACGTATGAAACACGTAATGGCAG